CAACAACAACAACAACAACAACAGCAGCAACGTCAACACAACAACAACAACAACAACAGCAACAACAACAACAGCAACAACAACAACAATAAGAGCAACAACAACAACAAAAACAACAACAACAACAACAACAACAACAACAACGACAACGACAACGACAATGACAACAACAAACATCCTGCACTTTGACAAAATAGTTCGTCCACCGTGATCTGATGATGGCCTGTAACATCCAAGAGAGAAAAGAAGTTACAAACGTTGTTAACCACCCCAGGTAACTAGCTGGGTATAGATAGAAAAGTCAATGAAATAATAGCCATCCATTTGTAATGATCACAAACGCCACAATCGCCGCAGATAGCAGCGCTTTTTTCCCTATTCTTAGTTTAGTTTTAGTAAGTGTTTTACAGCACTTGCAACACAATAAGGTCATATAAGTGCCAAAGATTAGAGGTGTTACAAGTGAGTAACAAACACAAAAAAGGAGGAGGAGAGATAAAGACGATAGATTTTTGATAGGAAAGAAGGAGCAAACCACACGAGAACACCCGCCAACCACCCACTTTCCCTATTCTGAAGTGGTGTGTTTGTCTAGCAAGACATACTTATGGGTAGCTGGTTTAACTTTCTTATAGCTTTGCTTATGACCTTGGATGATGGTTATTATACGACTGACATGCATCTGACCATTACCAAGACACACACCCACGTACACCGGTCTAAATAGATACAGTCGAACCTGCTCTGACAGTCACCTGACAAAGGCAATCACCTGTACAAACGGCCACTTCCAACTTTTCCCCTGACTTTTCATCATAATAATGACGGCTGAGAATATCGTGGAAGGAAAATAAATTAAATGAGGAAGTGCTTGATGAAGCCCACGTGGGACGCTCACTGTTAAAGATAATCAGGAAACGAAAAATGCCGTTTTCGGGACACCTGAGTAGACATAAAGGTCTTGAACATCTAGCTCTCACTGGCAAAATTAAAGGCAAACGAGGCAGGAACCCTGAGCAACCTACTTAGAGAACCTAAACAAATGGGTAACAGGGAAAGATCAGGGAAACGTAGCTTTATAAAGAACACCCGAGCAAAGGAATGAATGGAGAACCATGATCGCCGATGTCTGTCGCAGATCTGGCACTGGATGATGAATAACAATGATGACCTTGTCCAAGACGTCCATTTGACTAAAAAAATCACTTTTCTCCTCGACAATAGGAGGCCGTCTTGGACAATTTCGATAGTTAAAACAGACCTCTGCTGCTTCCTCTTGGCGTTGTTTTGCTCCGCACTGGCGTCCTGACCAAAGACATGTCCTGTTTTTGTTGACGCGGCTGTGCCCTCTTTGGCACATGGGAAGTAACCGAGGTTTTTGCTTCTGCTGATTCGGCTTGAGTTGTTTTCCTTAGACTGCCCTTGTCAAGTTTCACATCACCAAGACCAGTTGTTGTTTTGAGAAAATCTGCGGCCTTTTTATCAGTGTTGAACTTGAGAACTGTGCTGTTTGCACGGTTTGAGCGCATTCCGACCTGCTGGTTAATGAACGTAATAATGATAATAAATTTATACTGCCATTTCCATTTTCTAAAAATATGCTCAATGCGCATTACACATTCATAAAAATAGCACAATTTAAAATGTAATGGACATCATCATCATTGCCTTTTTCACCCTGCATCGGGGTATAGGCCACGGACAAACACTTTCCACCTTTCTCTATCCTGGGCTAGCCTCTTGTATAATAAGCATGTGTGTACGTAAAACATAATATTGTGTGTGTATATATATATACATATATATATATATATATATATATATATATATATATATATATATATATATATATATATATATATATATATATAAAAAATGTAGAAAGCACTACAAACTCACAAACTCTCATAATAAAACCGAAACTTGAATGGTTATAGACAGAATAAAATATTCGATCTCTAAAGATAGAATATAATACGCAAGTACGGAATCGGTACAAGGAACAGATAGTGAACGAAACTGTAGAAGCACTAAAGTGTGATCTCATATCTACAGTTCATTTAGTTCTATAAAGAGTAGTATAACGGAATTATATTATTTTCATGATTTCAGGCTTATTTCGGGGTATTGCAAAATTGCTACCAACAACAAAATACTTTGTATTAGTTTTTTTCCTTAATCTTTATGTAGATCTATATATTCTTTTTTTTTGTGGAAAAGTAGTATACCAAAGTAATATTGTCATGATTTCATGCTTATTTCGGGCTATTGCAAAAACGATGCCAAAAACAAAATGTAAGGGTTTTTTTTTGGGGGGGGGGTTTGTTGTTTTTTTTAGTTTTTTGGGGGGTAAGTGTTTTACTGCCCTCGCACCTACATAAGGTCATATGAGCGCGCGGGACACACCTAACATTTTCAGTTGGTAGGAAATTTTGAATTTTTCACGGGTGGCGGCCGAAGCCTACTCTTATCCATTATGGACCACCAAGGGATCTTTTCACGTTCGCAACTTGTACACGAGACTTCGGAGATTTTTCGCTAGGTATAGATCTTACCTACCACAAGATCAAGGGTGTAGCTGAAAGACAACAGCAAAAAGGAGCCAAGGAGTAGCAGTAGAAAGGCTGCAAAAAGAGTTAGGAGTCTAGAAGAGGGTGCAGAGGAGGTGAGGGGTGGGGGCAGAAAGAGGAGACGAAAGCAGAAGACAGAACATTGTTAGAGAATAGAAAAAGATGATTTTAGAGAAGACCATTTTCCATCGCTATCCGGATTCAAACCCGGGACCATTGAATGAGAGGCGAACACCTTAACATCTTGGCCACGAGAGGCCCCACATTAGGTTTTAAAATGTTAGATTAATTGATTTATTTATTTCTATATTCAAAATTTATTTTTAAAAACTACTTTTTTTGTTTGTTTGTTTTTTTTTTTGTTTTTTTTGGGGGGAGTAATCTCCTTATATTAAAATTTATATCCACCAACCTGGTTTTCAAGTTGTGTCACATTCTTCACGATAACGTCGAAGTTCCTTAAAATGTCCACGTCGTTACCAAACGTCATAAGAATGTCCAGGAACTGATTCGTCTTTCCTAGCGCTTGATGCGTCACTTCCGCAGTATGTCTTTGTGACGTCAAAATGGCGCGTTGCTTGGAGTAAGCTGCCTCAATATGGCGCAGAGTGTTTTCCTCCTTCTGTGAAATACACATAAGCGAAAAAAAGCAAGGACTTGGGGTTATCCAGCAGAGCTTACCCGAAATAGTTTAAAAACCTCTCTCAAATGTATGTGGAAAGTATTGGCTTTAAAATGTTTGGGGGACAATTAGTTAGTCCTGATGGTAGTGTGTACAGTGTACTCCTCTCTCCTGCTAGAGAGCGACTTCTGGTTCTTATTTAGTTAATTATCGTCGCCCGAGTACAAGAACCGTGTATCCCACAAAAACCAAATGTTAAGGGAGAAGGAAAAAACTTTGTCAATTCGTCTAATTATGTTTGTTAAAAAATTAAACTCGGAATGTTGCACTGGCTATGTTTATTAAGCTACATGTCTAAAAATTTGACACAAAATCCGCAACGTTACATTTGGTAGAAAAAAGGCACTGAAAAAGTGTTTGGGGACATAGTGTGGGTTACATGGTTGTTGTACTCAGGCGACGGTATGGACGCAGCGTTTGGCAACCTGGGCGGTATCGCACACTAGTGACAACCACTTTTCTCCTCAGCGATGGGAACCTCTCTTGGACGATTTCGACTGTACTTTAGAGAGCGACTCCAGTGATGGAGCCTGACACTTTTACGGGGTGCCCATTGGGGGGTCGGGTCGGGTCGGGGCAGTTTGCTAGCCAGATTGAGGGCGAAAAGCGGTTATCGTGACACAAGCCGATAACGATCGACTCGTCGTCTAAAAAGCAAACGCGTTTATTATAAGGCAACGAGTCGGGCGATCGACCTGAGCCGGCTCGACCCGACCAAATGGGCACCCTGTATTAACCACTGAAGGTGCTCTTATCCTTACATATCTTTGACTAGAATAACAAAGTAAGAGAAGTGGGGATCTCACCTGACGCACGAGGTCCAGCAGCCTCTCTTTGAGCTGTCTCGTTTCCTCTATGGCGTTGTCCTTGGACAGGGTCAAGGCCGACAGTTGCTCGCTTGACACTTGTCTGGCCACCTCCGCCCCCTGGCGGCAAGAGTCCACTCGGTTTTTGGCTTCCAATAAGTCGGCACGGAGATTAGGGCTCACTTTTTCCATCTGGTTTGGTGGGTAGCAAAAAAATGAAGAGATATTTTCAAAAAAAGTAGTAGGTATATCTTACAAAGAACACAAGACAAACAAGTGCAATTGTATGGGATTAACGCCCCTATCAATACTTTTGAATTTTTTAAGAGGCGGTACCTCCGATACGACTGAACCAAATAATGGTTTGAGAACCTTGAAAACTAAACAAAACGACCCGAGTTCAAGAACTGATTTGAAACAGGGCCATCCATCCCAAAGTCTAGCATCATACCATCTGAGCTAACGAAGAACCAAAGGCAAACGATGATGTGCAGACAACATTTTTTAAAATAGATGGAGAGCAAAAACCACGGCTTGCTACAATAGAAAAGAGAATACTCGCCTGGTTCGGACACACAGACCGGCACGAAAGCTGTTTTAAAAAAGAACATCACGCACGGGCACGGTTGAAGGTGGCCAAAAAACAAGACTACAGCGAACAATTATGGTACGACAACATCAAAGAATGGACTGGTTTGGGGACAAAAAGAATTCTGGACTGGACGAAAGACAGAGGGACATGGAAAAAATATCTCGACATAATCAATCTGTGCTCAGTTTCTCCCTGCAACGCAAGTTAAAGAACCACTGAGTGAGCATAGGAGTGGTAGTTGTGATTATTGTTGTTGTTGGAACAGAAGTGGAACAGATAACGTGGCTTACTGATTTCGCCCTAATGGTCAATGGTGGACAAAAAAATCCAGATGAAATCAATGACAAAATCTTTAAGAAACAGAATGAGAACAGAAGGTAAAAAGGGGCGAGAGAGAGAGAGAGAGAGAGAGAGAGAGAGAGAGAGAGAGAGAGAGAGAGAGAGAGAGAGAGAGAGAGAGAGGGGAGAGAGGAGAGAGAGGAGAGAGAGAAAGATAGAGAGAAAGATAGAGAGAAAGATAGAGAGGGGCAGAGAGAAAGGTGAGGCAGGGAAGGGGAAGGGGGATTATTCAATCGAATTCAGTGGGCTCGATGTTGTCAAGGAAATACATCAGAATGTAAATAGGGATACGTTCTAGAATAAAGAAACATCTGACTTCAAGAAAAGGTGAGATGTGCTTAAAGTCGATGTGTGGCACCAACCTGCTCGAGCCTACGACATTTGCTGTGAGACTGTACGACGCAGACGTCACACGCCGCCATCTTGCAATCTACGCACACAGTGGTCACAGTTTTGTCCGAATGTGTCGGACACAGGGCGCGTTCTGATGTCCGCTTCATCAGCTTCTCTGTGTTTTCATTCTGGGAATAGTACGACATGAAAATATCGTTAGATTCATCTTTGTCTCTGCTGACTTGAAATAAACTTCAGTACATTAAACAGGTCACGCAATTTCGAAGTAGGAGCTTAGTGAGTTTTACCAGGATACTAAGGAATAAAAAGGTGTCTACGAAAAGGATTGGGGGAGGGAGTGTCAGTTTTGTTTAGGGACTGAGATTGAGTTATTCTTCTTATTGACGTTGTTGCCTTTACAATTCCTTCCAGCAAATTTGGGTTATTTGTAACATTTGGGTGAAGGATCATAGAAAATTACCGGGGTTCTATGTTCTCAGGGAGTCGGAAGAGGGACCACGCTAGTGTTGTCACTTGGGACTTTCATTTTGCAGCCACCTTCCCCACCACGTCCTGTCCTCGACTCTCAGCCCCTCCCCATCACCCTACTCACACTCTTAATATACATACATGCAAACACATAATACACACACATAAACACACACATATACACATACTTACACACACATACATACACACACATGCACACACATACATACACACACACACACACACACACACACACACACAAACACACACACACACTCACACAGGAGCTAGGAAGGGGTTGGGGGGGGAGAAGGTCTTTGCTTTTTGTTTGTTAGATTTCGGGGTGTTTTTTGTTTGTTTCGTTTGTTTGGGTTGGTTTGTGGTGAGTTTTTTCTGTTTCTTTTGGGGGGTTGTAAGCTTTTTTCGGATTTTGGGCAAGGGTAAAATAAAACAAAATGTGTCAGGCGGGGAAGACCGAGTTCTGTGGTAAAAACAAACACATGGGTTACTAGTAACCAATAGGAGAACGAGCGATGTTTCTATCACAAGTTCATGTTGACGTCCATTTCTACTTTATGACAGGCTGGGTAAACAGTGACCACTCATCTCACTTGCGATTTGTGTATGAGTTGTGGGCGGGGCTTATGGGTTTTGAGGGATCATACGCTTCCCTCACCAGCAGCTGAAAATGTATTGTTACACATAGTTCAACAGTGGGAGGGGTCTACGTAAAATGGTCGGTAAGACGGACTACCTCACAATAATGACAGGTGGTGATTGGGTTATGACGGCTCGTCCCCATATATATTCACATATTCACTCCTTCTCCCCACATATAGACATGCACACATTTGTGTCCGTGCGCAAACACACACGCGCGGCTAAATACCCTTCATTTGAGTGAAATGTGAAGAAAAAATAACTTCAATGTGGAGGAAACTACCTACCCATAAGAACACCCCTGGACATAGCATTATAGGTATGCTTCAGGTAAAAGTACATTTTGCCCCCCCCCCCCCCCCCCCCCGCGGGGCCGATGTTTTTGTTTTCCTTTTTCCCCCAATTCATAAAACAATTATTTAGAAGAAAATAAAACAGCTTCTTTGGCGTTAGGCATCATGGCGACCGACGGAGAGAGGAGACACCCCCCCCCCCCCCCCTTTTCCCCCAAATCCCCTGTTTGGTAGAGTAAGTTCCAAATGTCAGGTTAAAGCCTCCTTTAACCGCACTCGGCGCTTTCACCTGCAACTCGTCCACGCTAATGAGGCAATGATCACGTGACGCCTTGGATCTGGTGTGGACTCGGCGGCAGTCAGGGCACAGCAGCTCCAGACAGTTCATGCACCAGGAGGTCGCCTCTACCAGCACCCGCTCCTGGCGACAGATGTCGCAAGCTTTCTCGGCTGCACGCGCAGATCTCACTTTGCTGATGGTCGTGAGGAAGTCGTTGGGAGTGAAAGTCTCCAGCCATTGGTCAACGGACGAAAGTGGCAGACCCTAGAGATGAGTTGATAAATGGGGAAGGGGGCAGTTGAGGGTGAAAGTTTCTAGTCATTAGTAGACGGATGAAAAGGACAGACCCTAGAGATGAGTTGATAAAAGGGAGGGGGGGGGCAGTCGAGGGTGAAAGTTTCTAGTCATAGGTCAACTGAAGAAAAGGACAGGCCCTGGAGATGATTGATAAAGGGGGGAGGGGGTGTTGAAAGTCTCCAGACATTGGTCAACGGAATTAACTGACAGACCATAAAGATGAATTGGCAAAGAATAAAACGTCATCAGAAGGCAGTGATGAAGAGGAGTTCGATACTTTCGGCAAAATTACCCCGATCCATTGTTGATGATGCTGATTTGGTGGATACATGAGATTTTGATTTTGGCGTGGGGTTTGTAGATAAACGAATGGGTGACAGGTGAGGTCAATACTTTTTGTGTGTGTGGGGTGGGGGGGTGGGGGGGGGCTATTTGTGGGGTTAAATAAGTTGGAGAGTTGCTGCTGGCCAGAAGGATGAGTGCACTTGTATGGCTTTTGTATGACTCTGACAGACGATAGGTGAAAATTTCAAAGCATTTATGGGAGTAGATGAATACGATGTCATGAACGAGGCAACTGGTGTGTAAATAGTAGAGCGATGGGAACGGTGGAATTATGCTTGAGAGACGGTGGTGGGGTTTATTAGTTAAGTAGATGTTTTGTTTAAGTTTTAGTAAAGATTTACGGCTCTTGCAACTGCATAAGGTCATATGAGCGACGAGAGATGAATGTCAACAGACCCAGAAATATCGGATCACAAGAGAGTGACAAACATACAAAAGAAGTAAAGGAAAATTACAATAGTAAGGGTGAGGGAAGAAAAAGCAGCAGTTCCCCCTATGTTGTTCCGGCACGGTATGAGCATGACACTGTTAAATCAACCCATTTACGTCTCTACTGTGCATAAGAACATGTTAATATCCTCCCTTTGGGAATGGTGGAAAGACACTTCAGTCAGTATCTTTCTGCCATTTTGTAGATGTTTTACGGAAATCTAACCCAATTTTGGTCATGCACGAGGGGAAAAGGGGGGTGGGTCGATAGATGAATGAATGAATTATACACCAGCCTAGATGTATAAATGGAAACATGGAGAACAGGTATTTATTTTTAATGTTGGATTTTTTACGCGCCCATCGACACAATTTTGGTCATTTAGAAAAAGGACTTCGACCTTGCCTGTCAAGACCAACCGGGCTGAGACGGAAATAACATCCCAAAGACAGACATACTCAACAAAAGTCTCCCTGCTGAAGAACAGGTCAAAGGATAGTTCGTTAACTTAGAGTTACAAAGTTCTTGATCTAGCTGACATTTTTTTGGGACCGTTTTAGCTACTACGGTCATGAAATCAGAAACTGAACGTCCTATCTTTTCAATTGAAATAGTAAGATTATTCGAAGTTGTTTCAAGATATTCAAAGAATTGCACACGAAAAAGCTTGACATGTTGTGAAACTTAAATTTTTGACGTCAAATTTCTCTAAAGCACAGAGCAGAATATAGAACTTTGTAATTCTAAAGTAGTGAGTTATAAGGATTATGGGCTAATGAAAGTGGGTATATACCTGTTTTGCCCCATCCAACTTGCGTTCACATACAGGACAACAAAAAGTCCACTCATCACGTGTTTTCTGCACGTGCACTTCAAGGCACGCGCGACACACGGTGTGCAGACATGGGAGGCTGCGGGGATCTTTCAGCTTCTCTAGACAGAGGACACATGTGTAGAAGTCGTCCGACAGCTGTGTCAGAGACGCCATACTGGAGTCGGGGAATAATAATAATAATAATAATAATAATAATAATAATAATAATAATAATAATAATAATAATAATAATAATAATAGATAGATAGATAGATAGATAGATAGATAGATAGATAGATAGATAGATAGATAGATAGATAGATAGATAGATAGATAGATAGATAGATAGCATTTGCATGGCACAAATCCCCGCTCAACAGAAAGTTATGTGCGCTTCACAATCTATACTATTACCCCAGCAGACATGGGACCATTCTGAAACAACTTCAACTTCCTGGGAACATACAGTGAAAACGACCATTTATAGACGCTGAAACACTAACATGCAAACAAAATCTTTCACTGTTTATTGCCGGGTACCCATTGCAACCTGGATGAAGTGAGGAAAATTCGTGTAAAGTGCCTTTCCCAAAGACGTTGTCGGGCCGCAGCTCGAATCCCCGAACCGGCAACCTCACGATTACGAATCCAGTAACCTTACCACTAGGCCACCGACGCCACCGACGAATAACGAGTTTGTTGTGGGGGAATAGGAAGAAAATCTAAATGATTGACTCAGGGTCATACCTGTTTAATACAATTCAAGATGAAAGAAAAAGAAGAATATTTTTAGTTAGCCTTTAATTAAACCTTTCATTGTTGAGACATATACAGAGCTACGTTTGGGCAGACTAGACAGAATGTTAATTTAAGAGAGATTTTCATTACAGTCATATTATAGTTTTCCTTATTTCAAAATAAACAACTGCACCAGTTTGTATTACATCTTCTAAGACTTTGCCAATAAACCAGTGGAAAATGTTTAAAGAATCAGTTTGGGAGACCCAAAATGAGCACACACGTCTACACAGCAGTCAAGGAATTATAGTAATATATTATTATGTGAGGCTGCGGGGTGGAATCAGGCTCTCGTCATAATAATCAAAGTGAAGAAAACTGCATTTTTCCGCAGGCTCGTGAATTTTTATCAATTTTTTAAATATTTTTTTTTGGCTCAACACTTTTCATGCCCATTAAAGAACTCATTCCTGTGTGGATTTTTCTGAAAAGCGTTGATTAAAGGCACAAACATGCAAATTTTCAGTTTCCACGGACTCTTAAGCTAGGGAAATAACTAATCTTTGGCGGCCATTTTCTCACTAATTTTACCTCTGAAAACAGGTGACCCCACCTCTTTCATTCGCAAATATCTCGACTTGTATTGGAGATAAATGGATTTTTTTTTTCATCCAAATAAAGACAACTGAACAAACTTTAAGATAACACCAATGACTCTACATGCCTAAAAATTGACGGGAGCCTGATTCCACCACGCTGCCTCACATATGTGTTTTTACGCCCCCATAGACACAATTTTCTCATTTTGGAGGCAGCCTCCGACCACCCCGGGCTGAGAGGGATACAACATCCTAGTACAAAGACTGAAATCCTTTATTTAAAAAATTCTCTCCTCTCAGGATCCGAACTCCGGTTTCCTGCGTGTGACAGCGAAGCCCCTATAATTGCTACACCACATACTTTGGTACTGGAGTCTCAAACTCACGGCGTGAAGTGGGAAAATATGAGAGAAAAAATTAAATGGTTGATGCGTAGTTCTGTATACACCTGTTTAACTTGATTCAAGATTATACGAAAAGAAGAACAGTTAGTTCATCTTGTGTATAAAATTCTGCAAGATTGAAACAAACATAACCTTTGCTAAAACATTGTTAGTATCCTCCTCCTCCTCCTCTTCCTCCTCCTCCTCTTCGTTGCCACTGGCTTCAGTGTTTTCACAATCTTCAATAGCAACATCACCATTACCCTTCCTTTTACATAGTATCAAAACCGTAATTAGCAGCAGTACCAAGAACGAAAACAAGAAGCGATTGAAAAAAAAAATAATTTGGGGAAAAAAGCTTAGGAAAAAAAGTGCTTTCGTCACACCAACAATGTCCTCTTCAAAAGAATAGCGAAGAAAATAATCAACAACATAATTTATTTATTACAAACAAAAATGACTATGGCATCAGCAGCAGCAACGACATTAGCAAAACTCACATTCAAAGTCTCAGCAACTACTTTTCTATCCCCAGCAGCTCACTTTAGCTTCCAAAACATGTGTATCCATCAGGAACCAGATACATTCATAATAATTCACACACTTTGTACGAGCGGGTAGTCAGAAGGTGCCACTGGTAGATTCTACTTCTTGTCTTTCCCTCTGTTGTTTCTGTATATTATTTGTCTTGCTTGTTCCCCGTACTGTGACCTTTATTGTGTCGATGTTCTGTTCTTCTCTTTACCCAAATTCAAAACGCAAATTTGTACAGGAAAGGAACAGTATGCTTGAGCAGAGCAAGAACGAAAGGGACCAGGCCTTTTATCTTGTACGCTCAACAATGTTTTGGTGCCAGGGAGTCAGAGACTTGCATAGCCATTTATTTAATCTTTCAATTCATTATCAAGGCTTAGAAGGTTAACTTCGCGATCCAGTTCATTTGCAGAATTCATATCTCTGGATCCTGAGGAACGCCAACACTAGCCTTTTCGTCGAAGTAAACTTGCACGACTATTTCTTGATAAGGACCTTGATAAAGCCACCGAAAGGTACTGCAATCTGCATGTTAGTTCTCTGAGCTGAATATAAAGGGTGAGAGTTAACTTTGACCCCTTATTAGGAACTCATTTGACCTAGTGCGCAAAGCCGGGTCCCCCCTCCCCCCTCCTCCCCTCTTTGTTGCGACAGATTTATTGTTTCACCATACATTGGTAAGTTACCTGTGTTATATCTCGCTACACTGAGTTACTGAGTTGTCCGTGAATAATAGTGAATATGCCCCGATTGATTCAGTATCAGACTAACAGCCGGCTCCTAAAAGATCTAAATCCTGTCGATGTCGACGTAAAGCTTACAACTGCTGCTTTGTCTATCTGTCCGTCTGTCTTTCTTTTTTTTTGTTTATCTGTCTGTCTGTCTGTCTGTCTGTCTGTCTGTCTCTCTCTCTCTCTCTCTCTCTCTCTCTCTCTCTCTCTCTCTCTCTCTCTCTCTCTCTCCCTCTCCCTCTCTCAGTCCTATGTTTTTATGTCTAAGAGGAGCCCACTTATTCAGCAGAGATCTTAGCTCCACTTTGTACCTGCCTACCATGTCAAAGTCATTGGCACTTTTCACAGTTCATTGCTATAATTAATTTTATTTTCGTCCTGCATATGTTAGTGATTTGCGTCTCTGCTATGTTTTGGGGTGTTCCCAGCTTCGAGATTTTGATGCTGAAGTTCACCATTGCCTATTTACAGGCGTGTAAAGGTCAACTATTTTTGCTACTACTACTACTACTACTACTACTACTACTACTACTACTACTACTACTACTACTACTACTACTACTACTACTACTACTACTACTACTACTACTACTACTACCACCACCACCACTACTACTACTACTACTACTACTACTACTACTACTACTACTACTACTACTACTACTACTACTACTACTACTACTACTACTACTACTGCTGCTGCTGCTGCTGCTGCTGCTGCTGCTGCTGCTGTTGCTACTGCTGCTGCTATTACTACTACTGCTGTTGCTGCTGCTGCACTCATTTGATAGGCAATGCATGTCCATTCCAATAATGTTAATACATTCCAATGCAGGCGCAGACATACTTTTAAGCTTCTTTTATTTCACAGAATTCCTGAGTAGGAAGCATGAACAATGAAAAAAATATTTGAATTGATGAACTGGTCCACAACTTGAAAGAGAGAAGGAGAATGACAGAGAAAGAGAGAGAGAGAGAGAGAGAGAGAGAGAGAGAGAGAGAGAGAGAGAGAGAGCACCCCTCCCCCCAGGGCTGAACGTCACTCTTCTCTAGAAGCTAAACTATCTGTTTCTCTGTTCATTTACTGTCTAAAACTTCAGTGAGCAGGCATGATTTCATTGCACAGGGAAACGTTCCATGAGAGTCTGGGGTGTCAAAAGTTTTGAATGGCATTCCGTTGTTGAAAGACAGATCATCTGCCAAGGTACCTGAAAACAGAAAAACAAAGAGAGAATTGGTTGAAAATCACAAACATGTACATATGAAAGGGCCACAAAACATGGACAAGGAACACAGTTTAGATGGTCTCAAGTGTTGAAGGATATGTTCGAGGGAAAATGGACTTCGCCGATAAATCATCTTCTTTTGAAATTAGCCTATAGATTTTTTAATCTTCTTTGTTTCCAGATGGGCCATTTCGTGAAAATGTCAACCAAATTGTGAAAACTGAAATATTACTAGATCTATGTACCAACAATAAGACAATAGAATTGTAGATATATACGAGAATCATCCAAAATTTACTAATTTCATTAGGATTTTTTGTTCACCTCGCTTTCTTTAGCATGTTGCAGTTTTTAGCCATCATTATAAAAACACACATTTGAACATTTGCCCTTCCCATTTTTCATGCACTGGTTAAATTTCAGTATATTTCTGACATTGCAATTTGAAGCTTAAAGTTAAGGAGGCTGGTAAATATTTTGTCCAATTTTTTTAAACAACATTTCAGAACTCTCCGATAGACATGTCACTCTGTCACACAAATTTTCCAAAACGTTTTGTCATAAAATATACATTTTCCTTTCAGTTTCTTTGCATTCAAGATATACCCTTCTTGAAACCATTGTCAGCTTTGCTCCACAAGTTCCCATATGTCGAAAAATAAGAGAAATACGAGTGCCTGTCTGACAAATGAGTATGACGAACTGACTGTGACGGACTGACATTTCACTGCGGGCCATCTCTAAATTCTAAAACAAGAAATGCTAAAGGGTTCCCTCGCTTAATTGAGAACATCCACTACTCACTAATTAGTTTAAGGGGACGGGATACACCTGAACGTTATGTCGTGAAAATAGACTCTTACACGTTCATCCATCCTATTCACGCATGAAAGGACTGGAATAAGAAATCCCATTGCTTTAGCAAAGCTCTGGTATTGGCAAAGGTATTCCAGCAGGTAGAAGTCATATTTTCTAGCAAAAACGAATGGAAAATGATACCTTACAATGGCCGGCATTGTTTGTCGTGAGAAAGTTATTTCCATAAGACGCGCCTGATTTTCCGAAGCACAGTGACGATTTTTAGTCACTTTTGTGCGCACTGGAAGTTCATATACATGTACATCTATGAATTGATGCTGTATCACGGACATATTGTGACTTCAACTTATCCCGCAAGACGTAATTATGTCTTTGTCGTGAATGATTTACCAGAGGTTATTTCCATAAGATTTTCTGCAGTAGAGTTATTTCTGGTTCACATTTTATGTAATTTACACGCTTTAATCATGATTTATTTAGCTTTTGATGTTGTTGGATGAGATAAATTAAACAGCAACGCATGTCCTTTTTTGCCAAAAATGTGACTTACTGGCCTAATGACTTTGAATTGGGAGTGATATTTTGGTTTTTCACGACATGGTCTTTATTGTGAACGTTTTATCTGTCTCTGGCTTTTTTCGTGAGTTGTATGTCTTTTCCAGTGTTCTTTTTTGTTGTGTTAGATCCCACGCTTGGTATAGTTGAGGGAGATCATGTCTTGCTGTTTTTATCATAAGATCCAGACGCTCAAACACTAACAAACTAACAAGATCTTTCGCTGTCTATAGCCAGGTACCCATCCCCACCTGGGTGAAGTGAGGAAAATTCGTGTAAAGTGCCTTTCCCAAGGACACAACGTCAGGCCCTTGACGGGATTCGAACCCTCGACCTTGCGGTTGCGAGTCCGAGAGCCTGACCACTAGGCCACCGACGCCACTATGGGAACTATGTGGAGCAAAGCTGACAATGGTTTCAAGAAGGGTATATCTTGAATGCAGAGAAACTGAAAGGAAAATGAGAACGAACCTTTGTATATTTTGTGACAAAAACCTTTTTTGAAAAAATGGAGAAATGGTATAGGTTTAACGCCCCTATCAACACTGTTAGGTTATTTAAGGGGCGGGACCTCCAAGTTGAACGTCCGTCTCCGATAGGACCGAGCCAAGTGGGAACTTCGTGTAAAGTGCCTTTCCCAAGGACACAACGTCGGACCGTGCTGAGGCTCGAACCCCCAAACTCGCAATCTCACGATTACGAGTCATGTAGCCTAACCACTTTTTTGGAAAATTTGTGTAGGTTAATATAATATTAGAAAGAACAGTAGCCTAGCCTACGGTACTCATTGTTTGTGATCTTCCGTTGGTTTCAGGCTGTGCACCTGGGACAGAGGCAGGATTGTGGTACAACAACTGCTCCTACTACTACTACTACTACTACTACTACTACTACTACTACTACTACTACTACTACCATAATATTTGCTACTACAACCACAACGTAGCCTACTACTGCAACTACCACTACTACTACTACTTCTACTACTATAACTACTACCACTACCACAGCAACTATTCATTGTGTTTCATTCTTTTTAAGGTCTGGGATTAGCCAGGAATCAAAATGAGGAGAAGATACACACGTTTCCCGTTTGAATGTGGAAATCAATTTTGTCGTTTGATTGACGTTGACGTCTTGCTCGATTAAGAAATCACTCAAAATTTCGTCGATTTACTCGAACAAGAGTCTTGTTCGGTTAACCGAGAAATTTGATCGATCAATTGCACAAGGCCTAATCTAAACTCTAAACATTGGAACACAAATACAATGGCTGCGCCCATGCCCATGGACATTTGTGGCGTCGGTGTAGGAGCCGGTTCTTTTACCTATGATGAACAGACGGATCTCAAGGTGTTCTAATAAATACCCTTTGCATAGGGGGAGGGGTCTGGGAGACAAATTTTCAGCTAAACGTATATGATATGTGTGTTTGTGAGATGCCATCGTCATCGAATGTCAATGTGGAGGACTTCCGTAACGAGCGACCACTATGTCTATGATGATCGAGACAGAGCAGAATTGAGGGGTAGGGGTAGAATCTAGATCTTGGGGTAGGAGTAGGGTTAGGGTTAGGGTTAGGCCTCTTCTTTATCGTGTTTGATGGGGTGGTCGCTCGTTTCGTATAGATTCTAGATCTAGATATCTAGATCAGATCTAGAGATATATCTCTAGATTCTAGATCTAAAAATACTCTACTTGTAGAGAGTGTGTACCGGTAACAGTGTAATATAATAATATGGCCTATAGGCCTACTCTTTTGTTGAGCAGCATCTGGTAGAAACAGCAGAGTCAGAGATTTTAGGCCTTAGAGATCATCTAGATCTAGATCTAGACTAGATAGACTACATCCAGATCTAATTCACTCATTCGGGATACAGGTTTTGGACCGGATTTGCACACGGAGACGCGCGATTTTGGGTCAACTTTGAAAGTCTGCCATTTTTTCTCCTGATATTTAAAAAAGTCTGTTTTCACTAGATCTAGATCTAGATCTATCTACACATTCAATATTTGGATCTTGCCTTAGTTCTAACCCTATTTGCTTGATAATATTTCGAAGTGTATACAGACCCGGTATCCGGGAACAAAGTCACGAAGTATACAGACCCGGTAGGGGAACTCTTTTGTGATTTTGGAAAGTTTCAGCGCCCAGACCTGGTAGTGTGTGTGAGAGAGAGAGAGAGAGAGAGAGAAGAGCTAGCAAAATGTGAACATGCCCCAGCTGGCAGGAGGGAACGAGAGAAAGATAGAGTGTGAAATAGGTGGGGAGAAAGTTTAAAAGACAGAGACAAACAAAGAAAAAGAGAAGGCGAGCGATACACAGAGGAGAGAGAGAGGGAGCGAGACAGAGGCAGAGAAATAGAGAGGGTGACTGCTCGATTGAAATTATGACATTGTTCTTTTCTTCAAATTGTGATTCCTCCAATTCCAAAACGGAGGAAAAACGATCATTCATCGAAAAGACATCCGCAATCTTCATTTTGATCTAGGCTAGCCTCGAAACTAGATCAATGATTTATGTCTGTCTATCTAGATCTAGACCTAGGCCATAGATCTAAAAGAACCTAGGTCTACCCTGAGCCAAGAGGGCACTGAAACTTTCCGAAATCACAAAAGAGTTCCGTTACCGGGTCTGTATACTTTGTGACTTTGTTCCCGGTTACCGGGTCTGTATACACTCCCATAATATATTCCTAAACTTGCCAGGACCCCTACAAAAATGGTGTAGAGACAGTAAACAAATTATTTTTTTCCTACAAGTTGACAGTGAAGAAATGCGGAAACAGCAAGATATGAAAGGAAGTGGTTATTTTCACTCCGGGTGAAAATAAACCATGTCTTGCTATTCTCACCCCCTCCCTTGTTTTACCGGAAGTAACCCAAGAAGGATCAGGGCTGAGGTTACAGGGGCTAATGCTCTGGGACAGGATCGTGTTGGTGTCCAAATAGACATAGAGTAGATAATAATAATGATAGAGCATTTTTATAGCACATATCCCCGCTCAACAGCAGGCTCTATGCGCTTTACACTATATTATTACCCCAGCAGACCATAGAACACTCTGAAACATAATATAGATAGATCTAGTCACAGTCAGGGTTGTCAAGTATTGGAGCCAAATCCCAGAAATTTGGCTCTTTTGGATTTGGCTCTCTGGCTCTTTTTTGGCTCCAAACTCCAAATGTTCAAGAAGAAGGAGGCAGAAGAGGCAAGAAAACAAGAAAGCAAGAGGCTATTCTCCGGCGTTGCGCCAGTCACGATAGGTGTTTCAAGGGTTTGGGAAGAGAGTTCCAAACTGATGGAGCAAGGTGGGCAAAGGGTCTTTCAGCTAATTTTTTGCTCCCTTTTCTAGGAACTCTTAAAAGATACTGATCGCCTGATCTTAGTGATCTAAGACCAGTGCACCTTAGTGAGTACAGTTCACAAATGACAATGAACGTACGTGACATGTGTAAAAATTTCAAAGCAATTGGATGTTTAGTTTTTTAGCTACACGCTCTTAAAATGTGTGAAGCTAAAAATGTTATAGAGTATAATATATCTCGACTTCTATTCAAGATAGATGGATATTTTTATCGAAAGCAGGACAAATGAACAAGCTTTCGGATAGTATGTACTAATTAAAACTCTACATGCCCAAAAATTGACAAGCGTGGAAGCGCCTGATTCCACCATGTCGAGACACATTATGTGTGGTGGTTTGTCATACTTAATATAGGCTGTAAGTTTCATCCTGCTTTTTGATATCCCCAGCTTAAAGAGTTTGACCTGTTCACTAGCTCTCATGAAGAAAGCAGGCAGGTGGCCCTACACCTGCACAGTGTTGGCTGCTGCCCCAGGTGTATCCTGAGACTGCTGGGAGAGAGTCACCCAAGCTCTTACCGGGCAACACCGCAGGTACTGTTTGGTTTTTTTATTTCAGACTTGTCAACTGCCCCAAATTTCCCGGGACTGTCCTGGCTTCTGCAATCAGGGAATTTGAAAGGACATTTACTACACTACACTGAAGCCAGGTCTACTTTTATTATGTAGTTTTTGTTCCACTCTCATTTGATGTATATATAATATGAGACTTATTTTTCTTCTCTACTTCTTCTTCTTCTTCCCCACCTCTTTCTCCTCCTCCTCCTCCTCCTCCTCCTCCTCCTCCTCCTCCTCCTCCTCCTTCTTCTTCTCCTCCTCCTCCTCCTTCTCCCCCTCCTCCTTCATCTTCTTCTTCTTCTTCTTCTTCTTCTTCTTCTTCTTCTTCTTCTTCTTCTTCTTCTTCTTCTTCTTCTTCTTCTTCTTCTTCTTCTTCTTCTTCTTCTTCTTCTTCTTCACCTTCTTCTTTTCCTTCTTCACCTTCTTCACCTTCTTCTTCTTCTGTCTCTAACTTTTTGTTAGTTGTTACATGATCTGATGTCATGACATTGGGTGTCCCTGACAGGGTTTTTGAAAAGCTAGCAAGCCTGATAATTTTATATGATAAGTGTCTTGAGGGTTGCCTCTAGTTCATTCTCTGATATGGTTGCTGTTTCTAATTCTATTTATGAGCTTTGGACTGTCTCTGACAAGGTTAAAAAAGTGTACCTCAGGGTTTTTGTTTGTTTTCCACTCTTAGTCTTATCTTGACTTGCTGTAATGTGTCCGAAAAGTAAATATTGTGGAGTAGTTACAGCAGTTTGAGGGCACCGATTCCAAGGGTTGACTAGTTCAATGACGGCTGTGTTCCTTTAGGCAGAAAACACATCATCGGTCAGCTGTTCTGATGTTCTGAGCCCAAAATTTGGAAACTTTTTTTTTCTTTTTTGCAGTATCTTACTCTGTGGTATCGGTTGCAATTGATCAAAAAATATTTCGTCAAATTTATTCAAATTCTGAATATATATGCTCATAAACTGACTCATAGAGATAAATTTCTGAACTGAGCTGTAAAACTTTACTTCAAATTGATGACACTGTTGACTGTTGTCATCTGAAGTGGACTGCAATATATTCCTTTTCATAATTTCTCACAGGATTTGGAAAGAATTTTTCTGCCTAAGGAAAAGTGGAGCTCATCATCTGACACCCACACTAACCCGTGTTCCACTTGTCTTGGCATCCTACAGCAGTATGCAGACAAAAGTTTCTTCAAGAAGGTGAACGCAGTGATACATCTTTCTTTGCTTTGGTTAAAGTTTATGAAAGTATAAAGGATTTTATTCATTTATTCATCAACCATCTACCATGGCTCACTCGTCTTACTTTCCTGTTTACACGTCATATATTATCCATTTATTCTCAGCAAAATTTTTTTAAGTTTTCCCTATTTACAGAAGTACTGAAAAATAATAGGTTTGCAATTATGAAAGTAGAAGGATTTCGTTCATTAACCATCTGCCATAGCTCACTCGTCTGACTTTCCTGTTTACACGTCATATATTATCCTTTTATTCTTAGCAAAATTTTTTTAACTTTTCCGTATTTACAGAAGTACTGAAAAATAATATATTTGCGATCAGTTAAAAAATTGTTTAATAGTTTATCATGTATTTTGTGCTTCTTTTTGCTCCCAGTGGTCAGAGTATTGAAAAATGAATTTCTCAGTTCAGAGGAGCATAGTAGGAAATCGGAAAAGCCTTCCAATAGAACTGTATGCATGGCATTTTTTGTCCCATGGTCTGATTTTCTGATGGCTCATTCTGTTCTCTCCATCTCCAGCTTGCAGGCAAAGTGAAGCAGGAAAACTTTGAGTTTCACGATCACCAGTGTTCCCTCATCTTGCCAGTGTCACTCATTGTTAGACAGGTTAGTGAATTTCAACCTCAGAACATTTCGTTCCCCCCGGGGCAGTGCCACTGACTGTAGTGTCTTTAGGCCATTCCCAAAGGGGGGACATTTCTCGTTCAAGCATAGTAGAATTGTAAATGGGCTGACTCATGTCATGCTCATAACTGTGCCTAATCTACAACAGGGAACTGCTGCTTTTTCTTTCCTGATCCTTACAATTGTCATTTTCCTCTACTTCTTTTGTATGTTTGTCACTCCCTTGTGACCTGCTATTTTGGGGTGCCTTGATAGTCGAAGCAGACCTTGTACTGTTGAAGCTAGAGAGGTGAGCAGTGTTAATCTGATTCCCTGTAAAGACTTCTCTGTTGACACCCACCCCTTGGCGCTCATATGACCTTTTATGCAGTTGCGAGCACTGTAAAACCCTCTACAATAAAAAAAAATATATATATAACATTTCTTCAGGAAATGTGTGTTCCTACTATTATATCGAAAGTAAACAGTTCTTTTTCTCCTTTCAGAATTGTAGAAGTCATTTTACATTGTACTTATAGTCATTGTTGCTTTCTGTATGATGAAAACTAAAGAGTCTGCACATCAGTAATTTCAATGCTAAAAAACAAAGCTTTTGATTGATTTATTTTTTCACGAGTTTCAGCTTATTTTAGATTTTAAGAATTTTATGAGAGCATAGTCAAGAAAAAGACATGGAATACCCCTTGGAAGACAAAAATTGCTTTCCAAATTTTGAATAGAAGAATAGAGGGTTAAGTGCTGCCGCAATCTGCTGATTCAATAAACTGAGTGAGGGCAAGCCAGATTTTCCTGCATGGAGGGGCCAAAATCTCTCTAGCTCCACTCAATTCGATTGAATCCTATTTGCAGTGTGCTTTTGGTATTAAACAAAAAGAAAGTGTAGTAACGAAATGGGCCATGGTTTTATTGACTTGATACCGTTTTCAACTCATTTGAAATAATAATTTTAAAAATATGACAGTTCCTTTGTCCTGTTTTTAGTAGATGTTTGCAATTTTGTTGCAAATAGCTGAAAATCATATCTACCTTTCAATGTTGTGTTTGGAAAGAGTGTTATTTGTAAGTTTTGATTTCCCCCAAAGGGGGGGGACATTTCTCGTTCATGCACAGTAGAATTGTAAATGGGCTGATTCATCATGTCACGCTCATAACTGTGCCTGATCTACAACCTGGAACTGCAGCTTTTTCTTTCCTAATCCTTACAATTGTCATTTACCTCTACTTCTTTTCTATGTTTGTCACTCCCTTGTGACCTGCTATTTCCGGGGTACCTTGATAGTCGAAGCAGACTTTGTGCTGTTGAAGGTAGAGAGGGGAGCAGAGTAAGTCTGATTCTCTGTAAAGACTTCTCTGTTGACGCCCACCCCTTGGTGCTCATATGACCTTATGCAGTTGCGAGCGCCATAAAACCCTCTACTTAAATATTTTTTTTAAGTTTTGATTTCAGTGTGTAAGTGAATTTGAGTTTAGTATGTATGAAAGTATGAGAGAAAAAGTGATGATTAATTCGTCTTTAACAGAGTGTCATTTGCAACTCCATGAAATTTTTCATTTGAAATCAGTACAAATTTCTAGGCATATTCTTTATATTTATGTTTATTCCTGTTGAAAATTAGTCTTTGTTGTTGACTACCTATATGTTCTCCTGAAGTTTTATTCCAGCATTAGTGAAGAAACTTTGCCTAATGCCTTGTGGATTTTTCTTTTCCTCAGAAAGCTGCCTTTGTGGATCTGAAAAGAAAGTTTGGGTAAGACTTTGTTGTTTGAAGCCTCAACTCAAGCTTAATAGTTGTTAAAGTTATCTTCTTTTAGTTGTGCTGGAAGTCATGTGTGAGTTTTTAATTAAATGTCATGCTATTTTAGTCTTATATTTTGATTTTTGGATAGGGATGGGGACTTGCATTTAATTTTACTGGGTCACTGGCTTGCAAAATCATCAAATTTAACAATTAACTGTCCTGGTTGGTAAGTGACATTTTCATGAGACCTTCTTATGTAGTTATCCCTCTCTTCTTGTTTTGTTTTTCCTCAGAGATATTTATGTTGGGAAAGAAGAGAGGATATCGTCTGTGAAGGATGTGTGGAAGTGGGCGTGTGGTCCCCCGGTGGCAGATCTACTTCAGTCAAAGTTTCAAAACAGGGTATGTACTGTTAGGACTTCAAAGTAGTCAGGTATGCCATTTTTTCATTTTTTTTCCTCATTGTTTCTCTTATTTTCATTGAAAATAAAAACAAAGGACATCAGGGTATAGTTTTTCCAGAAAACAGACCATCAACAAAATCCAGACATTTTTGTCATTTTCTTCAAGCAGAAAAGAAGACAAGAAAAACCGTTATGCGGCATCAGTGGTGTAGTGGTTAGATGGTTGAGCTCACAACCAAAAAGTCAGGGGTTCGAACTCTGTCAGGGGCCCATGTTGTGTCTTTATGAAAGGCCCTTTACATTACTTTTCTTCGCTTCACCAAGGTGGGAATGGGTACTTGGCTAAAGACAACAAAAGATCTTGTCAGGTTGTTAATGTTTGAGCTCTTCACCAGCTGCTTGCACTGTGTGCTTTCCAGGAAGCCAAGAATGTGTCTTGAGTATTCTAGGGCCTGCTGGGGATAATAATACAATTAGATCAGATTGTAAAGCACATAGAACTTACTGTTGAGTGGGGAGATGCATTTTTACATATGCTATTTTATCATAATCATTATTATGCCTTCTGCAGTTAAGGTTATCTAACATGCGGTTTCCCTAAAAACCATTTGTTTCTAATAAAACAGGGTGGAAAATCTTAAAATTTATCTAAATTTCTTCAATTCTGAGAAAGCTGCGTGTCAAGGATGCCCACGGGCTATCATCTGAACAACTCTCCTATACTTTCTGCTCCTACGGGTGCTATGTGAATTTTTATTGCCTGTATGTTGTTCAAAAATTATATGTGAGGCATCATGGTGAAATCAGGCGCTCATCAAAATAATGAAATTGAAGAAACAGGCCTTTTTTCTGCAGTTTGGCAATTTTTACTGAATTTTTGTTTTTTTCAACACATTTTATGTCCATATAAAAACACATTTCCATGTGACTGAAAAACATTGATTAATGGAACAAAATCTGTACATTTTCGGTTTTCAATGTCTCTCAAACTATAGAAGTTGCAAAATTTGGTCACCATTTTCTTGCTAATTTTACCTCTGAAATCATGCTACCCCCACCTTCTTCAATTGCAAATATTTCGACTTCTCTTCATGAATTATGGGTGGTTTTTTCCATAGGAAGCAAGGCAAATGAATATCAGATGATACCAATAACTCCACATGCCCAAAAATTGACAAGCGCCTGATTCCACCACGTCGTGACACATATTAATAATTTAGTTAGTTGTGTTTGAAGTGCACATATATAGTGGGCCAGCTCTTCAGATGTACCAAGCGCAAATTTGAAATTTAAAAGATTAAAGTTTCTTAATCTGTGGTACAGCTTTCACTTGCTTTAGAAACATTTTCTCAAAATTCAAATTCTTAATGTTTAAAACAGCAAGAAAAGATACTTATAAAGTAAGTGCAGTTGTTAAGAAATGGAAATTGAAAAATTCAGCTTTCTGGGCTTAAAACAATTCGACAACTTTCCAACAACATGTCGTGTATGTCAAAGAAGATAATTTTACTTTTCACCAATCGCCTTTCAGTTGTTGATGTCTGCCGCAAACCTTTTTTGTTTCTACCATCTCATCATTCTTTTTTTACTCTGTCAATTCTTTTTCAGGCCAGTTTTGATATCCTAATGACCTTCACCTATGCAGATTCTGATAAAGAATGTACTTTCCTGTAAGTTTTGTCATAATTTTGTTCTTTTTATCTAGTTGCTAATTGACCTTTTCCTTGGCCTTTGAGCTTGATTTATACCCTCACGCCTACTTGTTTGTTGCAGCAAGTTTGTATTTGAAAATTGCCATAGTTGGTTGGAGAGTGATACAGGTAGATCCTTATTCTTAATTTACCCTGTATTGTTTCGGTTTGTCTATCTTGTTTTCTACCCTGCCCTGAATGGCCTTTTTTCATATCAAAGTATTTCTCTTACTTAAAAAGATGTGACATTTTTTTAAAAACGTTTCATAAACATGAATTCCAAATATTGCAATTTTTTCTTATTTGAAAGTACAGGGTTTAACAAAACAAGCATATGAAGGACATTATATATGTTGCATGATCCAGAAGCATTCCTAGATAATTTTTTACCTTAGTCCTGACTGAAGTAAGTTCAACAGGAGAAATGACAATGCTGCTTTCATAATGATAATGGTTTTCTATTTTTATTGTGTCTCAGGCTAGATATATACCCAGACACTTTCTACAGACGTAAGCAGAGAAAGGTAGGTGACAGGATTTTCTTTTTGTAAGTGTATCTCCTGTTGAATAAGCCGATCTGAGATTGGAGGTTTTGATTTGACAAAGATCTGTGTAAGAGAGTATGAACTCGAGTCTGATGCAACCTCTCTCTGTAAGGGGGTTTGTTTTTTGGTGGTTTTTTTTTGTTTTCCTTTTGCTTTAACCATCACTAAGGATAATGCTTGTATGTGATATGCTCAGGAAAAAAGTTTGAAGTGTAAGTGTGTGCCTGCATGTAACTGTTGAATGTGAATGACTAAGACAAGTGAAAGGAAAGTTGACGGGTGCTCTGGTGTGGTTTGCTCCTTCTTTCCCATCCAACATTTATCGTCCTTATCTCTCCTCCTTTTTTTGTGTATGTTACTCTCTTGTGACACATCTATTCTTCAGCACTTATATGACCTAATTGAGTTGCAAGTGTTGCAAAACTCTTACTAAAACTAAAAAGGACAGGCCATCATGGACAATTTCGACTGGACATTTTTTCACCTCATATTGTTACCTTTGTGTAAGTGTTTTGAATAAAGCCTCCCAAGAATGTTTGTATTTGAATTAAGAAAGTTTGAAGTTTATTCTAAAGTAGATTGTTAAATTAAATGTCAAAGATGATGCTGATTGCTTTCTAATTTTCAGTTTGGTTTTGAGACGTTCACAAGGGCCAATGTTGCTAACGCGCTGGCGTATACGGATAATTCCAAGTTTGAGGAGTAAGTCTCATAACACTGGCGGCGTGGTTGTTGGCTGTATCGAAGAGAATTAGGTGAATTGTTTGTTAGAGCATAGATTCTCATTCTTCTGTTTTATCACAGAATATAAAACTGAGCGACTTTAGATAGGAATGAGCAGGGGACCAAAGAAAAAGAAAAATAGTAAAGAAGAAGAGAAGTGCATGTCTTAATAACAGCAGAGCCAAGTCACCATTGTAACTTACCTTTTTTTTTTTTTTTTAGATAATTCTGGAACTAAACTTTTAGTGAGCAAGTTGTCCATATGTTGTTGTTTTTGTAAATAAAAGGTATCATTATATTCTATTTTATTTGTTTCTTCAGCTTATTTTCTGTTTTTACAGCTTATTACAGGATTTAAGTTTTTTTAATAGTTAAGAGAAATAATATATGAATTCACATCAGTTTTGTTGAAACCCACCGCCGTCTTCTTTTCTTGATTTTTGCCATACCATACCGGAATGTTACTTCTTTCCTACCTGAATCTTGAGAGTCTTACTTTGCCATTTAGTGTCAATAACTATCACAAAAATTGAGCCTAATCTAACACTTCACCCTCTTTGTTTTTTTGCTTCACAGCTGTTCTCCCTGCCCCCCACCCCTGCCCACTGTAGAATGTGAGTGTACGGTCACCTGCAATCATGAGGCTGTGTTCATTGCTGGTGAGTCGTGTTCTGTCTTGGCATCGGAGCATCTTTTTATATTCATGGGACATGTACCTGAAATGTTTTCAGGGGGTTCAAATCACTGGAAATCTTGCTTGAAGACACTTTCTTGGTGGGGTTAATGCTTATGGCCCTCACTCATGCCTCTATTGCCCCCCCCCCCCCCTTTCCCCTCCCTGGACCAGTTAAGTTTGGTACTCCTGCAATAATGAAATGTATCCGAGCCAGAACCTATGGCTGTATTTGCAGCACATAAAAGGTTTGTGCTCACTGAGTGTTGTGAAAATGAAAATATTGAAAAGAATCATGAATAAATACTACATTCAGAAGCGTTTTCATCAGCTGCTGAACTACGACTGTGTTGGGGAGTCCTGTTCTAATATTCTTTTTATTTTCTTCCAGTACTTGAATGACTGCTACTGCTGTGTTTTATTACAGTCTATCACGCACATAGCAAACCTTGTGGAAAATTGACATTTTTTCAATGTGTACGAATTTTGCTATGTATGTTTTTAAAATACAAAGAATGCACTTCTATGAGAAAAATATCAAAACTTGAAAATTTGCTCATTATTTGCATGTTCGCTATTTAGGCGTTCATTTTGTGCATGCTGGCTATGTGTGTGTTTTATAGATATATGTATGTTCCCCATGTGCGTGATTCATTACATGCGCGGTCACTATATGTGCGCTAGACTGTACTACGGTTATAATGTCAGTTCCATTTCCGTCCCAGGTCGCTACCAGAAGTACAGTAGAGTGCTCAGCCAGACCCCCTGGGTGATAGACGGAAAGCGAGCCATGGAGGGATCAGTTCAGGAACTTGTCTGTGATCAGATTCTGCAAACATTCCGTCCGACGGGTGAGCCATTTGTTTTTGTTTTGGTGTTTGATACTGCTCGCAACTTCGTTCCGTATATTCTGTACTGATAATATTCTATGTCATCGAAGGCGCAAATGAACTACCTTTTTGGAGCTGGTGTGGGGCTTGATTTGCTGGGTAGTAAAATTTTTTTTCCAGGTAGTACATTTTTTCAGCAAATATTGCTGGACACCCTGAATGTGATATGTAAAATGATCCCCCCCACCATCGCGTTGCACGCATCTTAACGCGGGGGGGGGGGGGGGGGGGATTCAAATAGTTCTGGATCATTTTTCTTTGCGATTTGGCACCTCTGGGTATAAACTATCACTTATGCTTTAAAGATTTTTGTTGCAGAGCACCGATTGTCCTCCTCTGGCAGAGAGGATGTAGATGTGAGGATGTTGGGTCTGGGGAGGCCTTTTGTCGTGGAGCTGATCAATCCTCACTGCACCAGGTTCTCCGTGGAAGAGATTGCAGCATTACAGAAGGTAGGTCATGAGAGAACAGTCAAACCTGCCCAAGATAACCACTCATTGTTAATGAGAAAAGTAGTTGTCTTCGACAGGTGATCATTAAAACAGCTTTGCAACTTCTGTATTTGATATATTCATGAAGTTACTGTTGTTACCATTTACTGCAGAATTATTGAGTTTTTCTTTAATAGTCATATTTGAGAAATGGTTAAATGATGTGTTATTTCCAAAGAGAAAGCTGGTTGTCGTAGACAAGTGGATGTCTTGGACAATGCCATTATAATGTCGGGAAAAAAATGCAAAGTGGGAAGTTGTCGTTTGTGCAGGTGATTGTCTCAGACAGATAGCCTTAAGAACAGGTTTGCAAATTCCATATTTGATAAGTTCATGTTGTTACCGTTTTGCGTAGAATTGTTGTGTTCTTCTGTAATGGTCATTTTTGAGAAATGGACAAAGGATGTGTCTTCTTTCATCCAAATCCATGTTGAATCCAGGGTCATTATCAACAGAAGTCCACTGCACTTTATTTTTCATCCTTAGATGAAATGTATTTTGAACTGAAAACTTGGCAAACATATCTATCATTTTTAATTCGGTTTCTGAAAATATTTGTTTTATCATTATTTAAACCATACCTCTTTCCCTTCTATTTCCTCTGTTCCAGAGAATCAATGCCTCAACATCTGATGTTCAAGTGCGCGATCTCCAGACTGTATCAAGGTTGGTGAATTAGTGGAAACTGGGAAAGTTCTTTTGTTTGTCATACCAAGACTGTTATTGTTTTGTTTGTAACTCTTGTAACTCATCTCAAACAGAGTACTTGGCATTCCAAGAGGGGGGGGGGTTGAACTCGAGCTCATTTTGTCTCTGACTTGTAACAGGAGAGAGAATCAGAACCAAATGCACATATTAATCTGTCAAATTTTGGGTTGTTGTTTTTTTTTCCTACCCACGGCACTCACAGCATAGAAAATTGAGATATTTACCGAAAGACCAATCAGTAATTGAATTTGAATGAAGATAGTCTGAATTTTTAGTCCTGTCCCTTGGGTCAAGAAGCATGTGTAGTTGTGACTGAAAAGCTGTTTTACTCATTATAATAATTATATTTTTATTCCCATCTGTTTTGAACTTTATGATTGGAACTTCTCGATGACGAATTTAAATTCATAAGAAAGACTTCTTCCCAACATGTCCTCTCCTTTTTTGAACACTTTGACAATTTTGAGAAACTCTTTGTTTATTTGACAGGGTGGAAACAGAAAAACTGAAAGAAGGAGAGATTGACAAAACAAAGAAATACAGTGCATTCTGCTGGTGTGAAAGAGAATTGACAGATGCTGACCTCGAAAAGCTTAGTGCCATAAAGGTACATGTTATATTGTAGTCTTTGTGTATAGGGCCTCAGGTGAAGGCTTGGGTTTATTGATGTAGTTACTTGAAATACAACAAAATCATAACATCTAAATGATACCAAGCAAACTGGGCATCTTGGTAGCAAAACTGACTGCTGCTCACAAGAAAACAGAAGTTTGTCAACAAATTGAGCAAGATTGTGTTTGAATATTCTATCCATTCCCGCCTAGATAGACTAAAGTCAACCATAGCTTGAACATCCTGTGCTAGATCGTTTAAAGTCAACCGTTGTGCGATCCCTTCTGTGCAACTAGATTAGATCAACCATTTGTTGATCACAATTGCTTTGGCTTTGTAACTGGCCACGGCCACGGTTTTCCTGTAACTAATTGTAAAGAAAATCACTTTAAACTAACGTTATCACTGTGACTTTTGGTTTGCAAGATCTTCACACTTACTGCAGATAATTTTAGATTTACCATCAGGCTACTAGAAAGGAAGTTACAATCACGTGAACCTGATGCAAGCTTCTTCAACCTTGCCTGTCAGGGCCAACCCTGGCTGAATGGGACCCAACAGCCCAACAGACATGCGTTACAGTGGAGTACACTGAAACCAAAATCCGCTGGACTGTCAGATTTTTTTCCGCTTTATCCATTTGTTTGGTTTAGAGAGATTGCTCAAATACAGAAGACGAAAAGGCAGGGGACTGTAAGTTTGGTTTAGAGAGATTGCTCAAATACAGAAGACGAAAAGGCGGGGGATTGTATTTTCTATAGGTTTACCTGCTGTTTTCAGATTAGCCGTGTTCAGTTTAAGTAGACTCCACTGTGCTTGATTACAAACTTCTACACTCAGGAATCGAAACTCGCGTCTTCTGCTTCAGATTGTAAGGAGCCTAACCACTACGCCGCAAGTGACAGCTTAGAGAACATGGCACGAGGAGGAGGGACTAAGTTCAAAGCACGTGTAGAAAGCTAATCTTAAAAATAGGACCTCTAAGTTTGATTTGTTTATAACTGTAAATTGTTTTTCCTGCTGTCTCCTCTTCATTTTCAAGTTTTTGGATTTTTCCTTACAAAGAATAAAAGGGTAAGGCCACCTATTACGAATGTCACCTAGCCAACCAGCCTGAAGAGCTTATATCACCAAGTACTCGGGCTACAAAGGAAGAGGTTGACCACATAAAAGATTGATGGAGAGAGTCATGGGAACCCTGAGAAACTACAACATTTCGATCAAAGAGTTCCATGGAAAACTGCATATATCTCTCTTTGATGCTCCCTTTTGTCCTGTCTCCCAGGCTGTAGATGTGGACTGGCCTCCACAGAAAATGAAAAAGTTTAAAAAGGAAAAGTAAGGTATTTTTCCTTTAGTGAGGACTCCCCTGCTTAGTTTTTTAGGAGTCCAGGGGAATAGTCAACAAGTGAAGATCGTGATGTTTATCAATTTTAAACACTTGTTGACTCGTAAAAATAACTATGTTTCTGTTAAACTGTAGGTTGATGATTGTTGTTAGATTTCCCATTCTAAAGACATTACAATAAACCACCAATCCAACAAATATTAAGTTACGAGTCCACAAGCTTTGTAAATTGACACCCTAACAACTTCCAGTTTGTGACTATGCCTGTTTTTCCTGTGGACTCCTCAGTTGTTTTGTTTATGTTCCCCAGGACCTGACTCTTCATCAGAAAACACCATTACGAGTTCTCCACAGGCGCACGGCGGCCACACGGGACAGAGTGGTACACAGCATGAGAGCAGAGAAGTTGTCGCCGAACAGGTTCAAACTTCAACTAACTACTCAAGCTGGAACGTATCCTTTTGCAGCTACTTTCTTGTAATACTTTTGTTGCAATAGCTCTAAAGGTTATCAACATAAGAATACCGAAAAATAATGTTGCAGAGAGGGAAACTGAACATTTTGAATCTTAGGTCATTTGGGACCAACGTCTCTTTCCATATATTGCTTCCTCAGAATTGCAAAGTTTTATCTGCTGAATACCTAGTATCTAGCTTACGATTATCATTGTTTATATTGCTGCTCATTTATATTATGCATGTGATTGTAAGCCTATGTGTGTGCGTGCGCACGCGGGCGTGTGTGTGTGTGTGTGTGTGTGTGTACATGTGGTGAAACACCAAACCAATGTGCCAGGATCTGGACAATAAAGATGTATCTTATCTTATCTTATCTTTTGAGAAATTTGTCGTCAAAATTTTTGAGTGTCACAATGTGGAAACTTTTTCAAATGCAGTTCTTTGAATATTTTTATTACAACTCGAAATGTTCTTACAATCTTGATAGAGCAGATAGAGCTTTTGCTTTCTGACCTCATGGTCTTAGTAGCTCAAAACAGATAGAATTTGGTAATTCTGAGGTAGCAATATGTTTATTAGCTAGACTATTCTTGCCATGGCTCTTTTTACATTGTCTTTTGTGCATGTGGTGTCTGAAGAATTTTATGATCTGAATTATTTAAAATACTCAACATTTGATTTTTTTAATGGTTTGCCATCTTCATTTTTACACCTTCATCTTTTCTTTTTTTTTCTCCTCATCATGCATGGCTTTAGTTTTCTCTTTGTTAAGACAAAATATTCTATTTTCTGTATTTACTTACTTAACATTTCCTTCATGTTGTGGCACAAAGTTGTAGCGAGTACTGTGTCATTGTCAAATCTGAAGATTGTTATTGTGAGAACTCCAATTCTCACTTGTAATTTTTCTATCTCTAGTTCTTTCATTACTTGAGTTGTTCCGAACACAAAAGGATTGACCGAAGATACAGCTTTATTCGCCTTAACTGAATGATCAGATACATTAAAGAATTTGTGCATGGAGACTTTGGACGCACAAGTCCAAACATGTCTGAGCTGCTGGGTGCTGAATGTGACATCACCGATCTGGATGTGGAGGTATGTTTGCTCTGGCTACAACTACAATAGTTTTCAAATGCATGTTAGTAACAACTAATTCCCTCTTCGCTCAGATAATTATTGGATACTGAAGGAAACAAAGTATTGACTGTTTCAACCGCCGTGATCCTGTGTTTCCTGTCAAAATTTCATTTTTGCATGACCATCCAATTAGTATTCATGTGTGTGTGTGTCTGTGAAAAAGAGAGATAGTGTTGACGTGTGCATTTATGTATATATTTTAAATTCACCATGCTGCAGCAAATTCCTTTTTGCGGAGGTCAGTAAAATGTAATTTTATCTTCCTTTTGTGACTTCATGAAAGTGACTTGAATCTGTATTCAGTTTCAAGTGAAAGCATTATTGAGGGTGAAAGACTTGCATTTTAAACATTCGCACACTGTATGTCCCCCCACCCCCACCCCACCCCAACATTCACACACTTTTGTCTCCCTCCCCCCATCCAAAATTCTCCCCCTGTCCCCCTCCCACCCCCCCTTCCAACATTCACAAACCCTGTCTCTCCCTTCCGTCCTGTCTCCCAGGCTGTAGATGTGGACTGGCCTCCATACATCGATCCTGTGCCAGCAGAGGACTCAGAGGACACGGCCAAGTCTCAAGCTGTCACGTCTGACACTGTCAACGCAGAACCTGTACCCGATGCGACAGACTGTCGCCAGACACAAGACCCCTGTGGTGTAACAGCAACATCTGACACTGTCAACGCAGCACCTGTACCCGATGTGACAGACCGTCGCCAGACACAAGACCCCTGTGATGTAAACACAGCGCCAGACAAGACCATAGACTGTGATGTTGTTGCAGCTAACACTAACTCTACTACACCACTCTGTGGGAGTGAGTAATGTGCAAACATTGGAGGAAACAAACCTTCTTCCTCCATGTCAAGTTCCTGGACGATGTCAGGCACAAATTTGGGATTATCCAGGGATCTGTTAAAAGTTTGTTTTATGTTTTTATTTATGTACTCAATAAATGACAGATGGATATAATCTAATTTCTTTCATTCAAGTTTTCCATATAAAGTGCTTGTGTGTATTTTGCTTTGTTCTTTAAACTTCTGTATTGTGCTTGAAGAAATGAAAGTGAATATAAGATGCTAAGGTGTGTAGACCAAAGTTTTAAAATACCCCTGATCTTTGGATAGGTAATATCAAGCACCTCGCTTTCTCAGGTAAGGACAAAACGTCTCAGAGGTCCCATGTGCAAGCTGTGCATGTCAAAGATCTCTTGCTGGTCCTAAAATGAGTAAAATAAGTTTACTTTTGGCCACACCTGGACAAAATTCAAAATTAACTCCTACCCAAACTGGAAATCGTCAGTATAAAACCATATAAATTACCTTCGAAATCAAGATGTAGCTGCCTGATGGCAAGGGACCCTAGGAAGAAGGAAAAATGGTCACATGAGTAAAAATCAGTTACACTGCAGGTTGAAGGCAGCTGTATAGTAACAAAGAAAGTGTTGGATGGAACCCACAGGGTAAAAGATCAAGGGGAAAACCACATGGAACCTGGAGAAGAGTCACAGAAATCGATAAACAGAAAGGAGGGAAGACATGGAATAACATCAAGAGGCCAGCCCAGGATAGGGAAAGGTGGAAAGTGTTTGTTCGTGGCCTAGCCCTCTACCCTGATCCAGGGTGAGAAAGACAATGATGATGATGCAAGTTGAAGATCCAGCAGTCTAGCAGGAGAATATAAAGAAGAAGAAGAAGTATAAGTTTAGTTTTAGTAAGAGTTTTACAGCACTTGCAACACAATAAGGTCATATAAGTACGTATGACATGATAAGGAGGCATTACAAGAGAGTAACAAACACAAAAAAGGAGGAGGACAGATCAGGACAACAGATGTTTGATAAGAAAGAAGGAGCAAGCCACATCAGAGCACCCATCAACCACCCACAGAAGAAGAAGAACTTGCTTGGGTGAGACTTTCCATGATACAAATATTCACTGAGTAGTCGAATAAAAGTGACCGTTGTTTGATTTTTTTCCTAAACTAGAAACTGATAAATTATGCCCCTCCTGCTGAAGAAAACAATGTACCCGGTACTTACTTCACTTACTAAGACTTGATCTTCCCAGACAACTTGCTTCATCTAGCAACTATCACTGGGATTCAGATCCTTTAGGGTTCTAGATCTATGACACGTCTTGTAGGTGTGGGTGTGCCTCAAAAAAGTTCACTCATGCTTAACAGCCGGAATTATTTCCCCTGTTCTGACGGAAATTTTTTCAGATCTCATGAAACGTGTAACTGTCCCCGTACAATTAGTCGAATTTAGATGGCCAAATTATGCAAGAAAAATGCAAAACTGCAAAAATTATGCAAGTTACCGTAACGCCATTCGCTACATGTTTTGCCCTTTTTCAAGAAGAATTTTCATGTTTTATGTACAGAAAAATTGAAATCAGAACATATCAATATCAGTAATCTGTTGTGTATTTGGAAAGAAAACAATACGCATCTGTCAAAAAAACAAAACAAACAAACAACCAAAAAATATAGGCCCGTGCTACCCTCCCGATGTCGGGTGGCTAGCGTCAGGCTACTCGCCCGATGTCTGGTGACTAGCGTCAGGCTAGCATCAGGCTACTCGCCCGATCTAGGGTGACTAGCGTCAGGCTACTCGCCCGATCTAGGGTGACTAGCGTCAGGCTACTCGCCCGATCTAGGGTCACTAGCGTCAGGCTACTCGCCCGATGTC